CAACTTTGAATAAAGACGCATATAACATTAGACTATTATTACATTTCGTTAGGTTACTCAGGGTTTCTTTAGCGGCTAGGAAACCTTTTTGTCTTTTATTTTGGATGAAATTCAGTGGCGATGTTATCAGGATTTTTCACCAACAAAAGAATTTTCAGTCAATAATCTACTAAGCATTAACCTCCTTAATTAACTACTCCCTCCCCTTCGATATGTACTCGTCAGGACTGACTTTGGACAGGATGTACAAACAATTTGTTTGATAAAGATAAAAGAAAAAAATTCAACGAAATATTATATTCACGTAATGAATTTATGTACGTAGTCGGCAATATACTGTATATAATACTTCATCCGTTCCAGAAAAATAGTTCACATTGAGTTTTAAAATTTGCATTAAAATTAGTTCAAATCTCAAAACTCAATGTAGACTATTTTTTTGGGACGGAGGTAATATATGCATGTGCGATGGAAATCCAAGGTTGAATCCCATATAACGTGGGACACAATTTTGTTTGATGAAGACAACTGCATGCGCGAATTGAAACGTCTGTACAATTGACATCACTTACATTATCTTCAAAAAAAAAAAAACTGTAACGCCATTTATGAGGATTAAGAAACTGAATGGTGATGGCATAGAATACAACAGATTTTTAAAGTGTTTAAATCGTGCATTCATAAAGGTCTTGAGAGTTAGTAAACTAACAACTAATTAAAAACTGGTCGTGTTTAGAATTCTAATAACTTTAATGGAAATATTGATGAAACTTTAGAGTCATATAACAGTAAGATTAGAACCCGGGCATGGGCATGTAACATTGATTAAAATATTTGTTGGGAGAGATTTGCCTTTTGAGAGGGATCTATCCGGCTCGAATCTGGATCAGTCGGAGCAATGATTTCGGACACCGGGTGGGTAAAAAAAAAAAAGAGGGAGAATGTCGTCCATTAACTATTACGCCATTAACCACTTTTCACCACTGAAAAATGTTGAAAGCTAAAAAGATACTAGATAAATTAAAAATCATTAAAAAATTTTCAAGGATTCTACAGATTTCTTCTTACCCTAATAGATCCATACTCTAAGTTAACACTACTTTAATTTAGTGATCTACAAATCCTACGGTGGCTCGACACGTGGTGGGAGAATTATTGTTGTTAATCAGTAGAATTAGCAAGTGAAATTCCATTTTTACTGAAAACAAGAAACAATGTTGTCATATCATTAACCATTTATGGAATTCTTCTCAACAATGATCGCATGATGAGACACCATTCAATATATATTCTAGAGAATAAAATCACATAGAAAAGTGACACTTTAATGCGGTTTTTGCATGATACCTTGTGTTCTTTCCCACTCTCATCATTTATCAAGAGAAAAAAAGTTCACTCAGCAAGATATTCTTGTCTCTACTACCTATACTATATGTATTCTATTCTATATCTTACCTATAGCTAGCTCTCGTTTACATGGACAGAATGAATCTCTCTCTTTTTTATTTAGTACTACCTCCGTCACATAAAAATAATAGTTTTTGAATTTATACTAAAACTAGTACAAATCTCAAAACTCAATGTTGGCTATTTTTCTGGGATGGAAGACATATCTATTATTATAAAGGTTTTTTATGGAATAAAAAAAGACGCAAGAAAAAATGCATGAGGACGAACTTCATTAATCTGCCTCTGATAGGTTTGATAGCAAGGTCGGCCGGCCGGCCGGTTCATCGTAACCCTAATTACTCAGCATTTTTTTAAGGGCTGCTACATTCTATTTTTTTTATTTTTGTTACTTAGTGGATTCAGAATCCCTTTTACTCAATCTTCGCTTTTGCACGAATGTGGTGATTGGTTGTCTATCAATTTTGAAGTGAATATTGGCCTATCATTGTTAGTCTTTGTTGTTACACTTCATCATTTTAATTTGATTCGTAATATTCTCCCGCATTTTGGTCTATGAACAAATAAAGTGCTCTCACGTGAAGATAAGGTAGAAGAAGGAAAAAGAAAGAGAGCACACAAAAGAGAAACGGCACAATTTGATTGGACTTCATGATGAATAATTTATTATACTACTATATATGATTCTTTTTTGTTACGATTAAAAAAGAAGAAGGAGAAGAACAACAACAACAAATGTCTTAACTAGCTAGGGATACCAAGTTCGAGTACAATTATTCAAATTCGCATACTGCATTCCTTTTCGAACTTTCATGTTATTGAATATTCTTAGAAAATTATATAGTTATTATTTCATTACTTCTATTTCGAGCATGTCCGATCGATCCAAATAAATGACATCTATATTTCTTTTCCGTATTAATCTATTTTAATAAACATAAATATTTTACTTTTTTAAGAGTGAGAAAGTGTATTTTCTATTACTGCACCTAAACCTGTGAAGGTAAAAAGGTAAATCGGGCATCTTCTAGTAATAATTAAGGAGATCTGGAATACTCAAAACTATATAAATGTAAATACATATTTTCAGTTGGCAGTAGGGTTTTCTGTGGTTAAATTTTCTTCTTCCTTCAAAAACAAACATTTATATTTTTATCTAAATACAAAACAACAATTAAAAGGCGGATACAAAAACAACACTAGCCCTTAGAGATTTGGGGGTTTCTTATGTGAATTTTGTAAATTGAGCCAGTGATTGGCACAAAAAAAAGTATACATAAAGTAGAGGAAAGTAGACATGATTTTGTGATGGTATCGAGTGGTTATTATCCTTGAACGAAAACTGATTTGTTTGTCTCAAGTTTTACATCACACCAGTCAATACGATCTAAACTATAAAAAGTTACAAAAATTTCCTTACCAAGGTTTTGAAAATGATAGTATTTAATTAATTTTTCGTCATTTAACTTTTTAAGTTAGTGCTTTGATGAATAATGTCTTTTATCACCTTTTTTTTCCCCCAGCGGTATCAGAGCGTATGAAATGTACATAAATCATGAAAGTGGAGTATTCAAATATTGATTCGTGCACTAATGAGTATTAGCGAGATTTTTAGCAAGCTAGTAACCTGAAATTTAAATAAATCGATCATATTGTGTGATGTTAAAATAGAATCACACATCTTTTGAATTAATAGCCAAACTACGAGTGGTTTGATTAAAGCTATCAAGGAGTTGTTATGGAGGACCCGGTGTCGTAATAAAATTAAAATATTGTATATCAGAAATTTAATTTTGTGCCGGGTTACTTGACATCTCTGTCGGTTGAGAGTACGAGTAGATATCAACATTAAAAGATTTGTTGATTGTCAGTTAAGAGCATAATATTAAACTGTGAATAGAGTATGACATTATTAATATCCCATACCAATGTAATGTAATCATTTGATTTGTTTAAGCGTTTAGCCTCGTCTAAAAATAACAAAGCTAATGGTTACGAACTGAATTGCATTAGACAAAAAATCAAACAACCGATTGGGCTGAGAATGGTGTGATCACCCAAAGCGTGGGACGAAAACAACCTACTTTTGCGGAAAATAGTGAAGTTGGATGATGTTATATATAATGATGATATGTATGAACTGAAAAAGAAAAAAAATGAAGCTAGCTAGAATTAAAGAGGCTCAGCTGATGCTATAGAAAAAGGGGGGAATGATGATGATGAGGATGATAATGATAATGATGATTGTTAAACTTAATTATCAGACACATCATTGAAACAAAGACAGTGTCGAAAAGATAACACTCTCCCAAAAAAACATCAAAAGATCTCTTAAGGTTGTTGGTTTGTTGCAAGTGGAAGTAATAATAATTTTATAAATTAGGCATCATTGTGCATATAAAAAACATCAATAATTAAAAAAAAAAAAAGAAAGAAAGAAAGAAAGAAAAGGAATTACTTATATGGGGCTTTTTCCAATCGAGCATGCGCACAAATTCTCACTCTCACGTAAGCATATGATCATGCATTTCCCAAACCTCATGCATACACTACCTTTTTATTTTTATTTTTTTTTTAAAAAAAGTTTTTTTTTTCCCCTCCCAACATTCTTTAGACGGGCGTCATTTTCTCACATACTCCCACTTAAACTAAAATGACCGTCATATTTATTATATTAAAAATTCTATAATATAAACAAGAAACATTTTGAAATGAAAAATACTATTGAATAAAAATACAATGTGTACTTATGTCAATCAAGGACTAATTACTATTCCCTTTGTCCCAAAATTATTGTCTAGTTTGAGTTTTTTATTTTTAGTTCAATTTGTACTAAAAATGAAAATTCAATTTGGACAATAATTTCGGGACGGAGGGAGTATATAACTTTTACGCTTCATATCCCAAATCATTTTATGAAATATAGTCTTTTACATTCTCGGATTTTGTGTCTTAAGTTAGTATTATTGATTTAAACTGATTATAATTAGTTAAATCATTTAACAATATAATGACGGTAATCTTACATTTGTTTCCTTGATGTTGGGATTTTTTTTAATTACATTTTACAAAACAAAATTAACAAACAAAAGAATTAACTATTCAAAAATCTAAATATTACTTTCTTAAACAAATTAAACAAATGATATAAATAAGGTTGTATTTCTTCCGTCCTAGAAAAATAATTTACTTTGTTAAACTAAATTAACACAATAAAGGGATTTTTTTTTTCTCCTTGAGATGGAGAAAATATTATTTCTTACAACAAAAACTTGAGCTACATCCTAACAAACTATATACAGAAGTTACATTCAACCATTGAGTGGGGACAAAATGGAAAGTCGATCTTAAAAAAAAAAAATTCACAAATCAACAAACCTAATTACATATCTCCAACCCATTAGCCTCATTCCACCTAAATTAATTTATAAAGCCTTCGAAGATTTACAGTCCTAAGCCCAAAATTCAATTCCTTCTGCCCAATCCATCAAAATAAGGCCCATACAGCCATATTGACCGGCAAAAAGGAAAAGGTGGGTGGGTCGGGTATATAGAATTGACCCGACCAGAGATCATGAATACCCGACCAGAGACGAAGAAGAAGAACTTTCATTGACAGAGGAAAGAAGTTAGCTGTTCTTTGCGAGAATTCTACGCCAAGTTCGCAGGCAAAGTTCTTGATTGAATTACAGTGGTTTGATTGTTGATAGACTAGAAAAAAAGGGAGGCGAAGTGATGGGATCGGTGACGGCATTGGCGCCGGGGCTATCTAGGAAGCTCAAGAAGGTCCTGGAAACCCGAACCGACAGTCCGGAATTACTCTCGTCGCTCAGTACGCTCTCGGATTTCTACGCGGAGAACACTCCTCATTCCCGGCGTAATCTCCGATCCACAATTGAGAAGCGCGGTCTCTCCATTAACCAAGAGTTCCTCCTCTCCTCCCTTGCAGCTCAACAAGTACTGATTTCAACTGATGGTTTTAAATAAATCTTGTTTTCTGTATAATGATACGCCGCATTGATTCTGAATGATTTTATTTTTTCCTGTTGAACTGATTTACTTGTAGGCATTGGATCGGGTGGAAGAGGAAGTTAATTTACTGGCTGAATGTTGTGACAAGTATGACGAATCCTTTCATTTCGCTTTTCCCCTCTTTCATTTCGGTTCTGATGTTATCTATTGGTTGTGAACTCTGGAAATGAGATTTTCGATTATGATGTTTGATTTTTTTTTTTTTTTTTTGGGTTGAAACCGGCACCTGTATATTAACTTGAAATACCTATACTATTAAATTTTAGTTTAGCATAAGCTAAATTATGTAGATCACGGACATCATTCCTACTAACTTTAATTAAAGTACAAGATTGAAATGTAGACTTTAATTGACGTAACCTAAGTACTACTTCTTGAGCCTCTGCCGGGAGAGAATCCGGCCTTTGATTCGTTGTCAGTTGTTCACAATTCGTATGGATGATCACACTGACTAGACCATGATGTTTGATTGATTTGCTATGTAAATCCCAGGCACTGAACTTTTCTACACTACTTTTATGCAAATATTTAGTGATTCCAGATTCCAATTTTATCATTGTGAAAGAAATGTTTTCAAATAGTTGTAGTAGATGATGATTGTGCCATTAACCAGATCAGTCTATAGTCACCATCCGGTTTTCTGTTTTATATTCTACAAGTGACATTCTGCTTCCTTTATATTTTCCGGGACAGTAGATTTCCTCTGCTTGAATCTCAGTATGTGATTGTATTTTGTGGCAACAAAAACTGTTCTTCTAGCAAAAAGAAAAGGTTACTTTGATTGTATTATGGATATTGGTCCTTGTTTTTCAACCTTACTATCTTGTTATGCAATTGGTTAATTTCAGTTCTTGTTAGATAAGTCATACTTGGTTACGTATTTGTGAAATAGGAGGGTTGTCTGACATGTTACTCAGGCAGTCTTTCTAGCTTTGAACTGTAAAAGCTGGAAAATCGTGAGGGATCAGTGTGCTGAATGCTATGAACATTCTCATTGTTGTTGATTTTCATGAAAGAGAACTTATTAGCTCCTATGTATTCTTTGGGTGATTTTGTTGCAGAATCGCCAGTGCTTTAAGCAGCTGTAATGCTACCACAGGTGATATTATCAGCACCACTGAAAGGCTCAAACAAGATCTGGAAGTTACTACACAGAGACAGGAAATTGTGTCATGCTTTCTTCGTGACTATCAGCTATCTAATGAAGAGGTTTCTCGCGTAGCCTATCCTTGAATTCCGAGCTTTATGGGCTAAATTACATTCTAAAATTAATTTTTATTTAAATTTGTTGGCTCTCCTTCGTAGATAAATGCTCTAAGAGAGGAAGATTTGAATGAGAATTTTTTCAAGGCACTTGCTCATGTTCAGGAGATTCATTCAAACTGCAAAGTTCTTTTAAGAACCCACCACCAGGTAAGTTCCATCTAATTCCTCCCCTAAACCAGAGGGACATTCATATTTTTTAAATTTATTCTTTTGGGACATTTGCATTGTATGTAACGTGGGAAGTGGATAATATCTAATCTATACTATCCGCTGGGCATATCTGTATGCTGTATTAAAACTTAAGATTTTTGTTTCTACTAAAACATCTACCAATCATACTTTTTACCGCAGATATTGCGCTGCCTTCTTGAATTACTAATCAAAGTTGCCATCTTAGTTTGGATAGGCATTATTAACAATTCTATGACTTCTGACTTCTTAACTAGTTTGAATATTGATAACAATTTTATGACCTATGACTTCTTAACTATTTTGCAAACTTACACTGGTGGTTGATTTTATGGTGACTTCTTTCTTGCTATTTGTTTGACAAGATAAGTCACTGGCCCCTTTCCTTCTTACACTTCTTCTCTTGAAGGCTGAATCTTGACTTCCTCGTACATTTTATCCGAATTGAGAACTTCACGTCTACCTAGTTGGTTTTCTAATTCTTGTCTGTTAGAGGACTCCAAAATTAGTTAAGTATATAAATTTTGGTAGCTGAATTTGACTTGAGGACCCCTTACAGCGAGCTGGCCTGGAGCTTATGGACATGATGGCTGTTTATCAAGAAGGGGCCTATGAACGCCTGTGTAGGTAAGAGAAACTATTTCATGTTCCTTAAGTTTATTGCACAGTATTAATCATGTGGTAATGTGGAAGGACTATAACAGATTTTTGGATTGCTGAAGAATTGCTACATTCAGTGATAGAGTTGCATTTATTCATTTTATCATTCTGTCCTAGTTGTTAATTTTTCCCAAGTTTATGAGTTGTTGAGATCATTGTATGTTTAGCATTCACATGGTCAATACATTACTGCTGCATGAATTCTTTGACATATTTTCCTGACCATGTGATCCACATCTGAACCAGTATCAGCTTTATTGGGATCTCTAGGTTATTGGTTTTCTCGATTTTGGAATATTCTCTGCTATCATTTGAGATTTATAAGTTCCTCAAATGTTTTTCTGGTGCTTCTACTTTGTCATAATAAGAAAAGTTTGGTTTGGTTAGAGATCTTAAGCTGGCATGCATTTGATGTCACAAAAAATTGTTTCTGGATATTTGTACCTTTAGTCTGGTAAATTTGACTTTCTATAATGGTCTTTTTCAAAAAAAAAAAAAAAGACTTTCTATCACTGTATTCTCTCTATTCAGGTGGGTCCAATCAGAATGCCGGAGACTGGGAGACATTGACAATCCTGAAGTTAATGAACTGTTGAAGACAGCAGTTCGCTGCCTTAAAGAAAGACCTGTTCTTTTCAAGTATTGTGCAGAGGAGGTATCTCTGTGCTAAAAGCTATTGCATTTGGTAATCTGGAACTGTATTTTTTTTGCTAATTGTGCTAAGAATCGCTTCATGTAATTGACAGGTCGCCAATATGAGACATAATGCATTGTTCAGAAGATTTATTAGTGCCCTAACACGTGGAGGACCTGGTGGACTACCCCGGCCAATTGAAGTGCATGCCCATGATCCTTTAAGATACGTAGGAGATATGTTAGGATGGTTACACCAGGTATGCATTGGACTATACTGGCTCTGGCTTTTACCTTCCTGTTATTTACTCTGAAGCTAAGCACTTGAATTGTTTTCTTCTCTTCATATGTCAGGCTTTGGCATCTGAAAGAGAACTTGTCCTCGCTCTCCTTGATCCAGATGCGACGCCAGATACAGGAACCACTGCTCCCCGATCATCAAATGTTTCTGAGAATGGTACTTCAAAGTCTGATACAGACTTGACCTTCGTGCTAGATCGGATTTTTGAAGGAGTATGCCGGCCATTCAAAGTTCGGGTTGAACAGGTTTTACAGTCTCAACCAAACCTCATAGTTTCCTACAAACTCAGCAACACCCTGGAGTTTTACAGTTATACAGTGAGTTTCGCTCTTTTGAGTCAAAACCTATTATTGTTTTGTTGTACTTCCCAATTTGTTTGCATGACAGTAGCTTTTATTTATAGATATCAGATTTGCTAGGAAGCGAAACAGCCCTCTGTAATACAATTTGGGTGCTCAAAGAAGCAGCTCAGAGAACATTTTTTGACATGCTAAAAACCCGGGGGGAGAAGCTTTTAAGATATCCACTTCCTGTTTCTGTTGATCTTTCTCCACCAACCGCACTTCGGGAAGGTGTCTCACTGCTGTGTGAAATTATTGAAACACACAACAGCATGATGTTTTCTGCATCTGGAAAGAGAGCAGACTTCCATCCAGTCATCTCTGCTTTGCTAGATCCTATTATCCAGGTATGTTATCTTTGTCTTATGCTAGAGTGTCTCAACTGTGGTTTGTTGTATCTTTGAAAACCTTGCATGCCTTTTCACTGCTGGGTTCTGGCGTTTCCAATTTCTTCAGCACAATTCTCTAACCTAATAGATTAGTTGTCTCGTGTTCTGTATTAACCATCTTTTTCTTTGCTTCTAGAACGAAGTTTTAAACTGAGTTTTTTTTTTTTTTCTTTCTTTCTCTTATTCGCTAATTAAAATAGCACTATGATTTTACTGTTCCTTACAAGACACAATCATGTTGCATTTAGTACGTGAGTCCATTTTTCAGCTTGTATCCTTTAAGTAAAACTAGACCTACCTTCTACCAGCAATGACAAATTTCAAGTCTCTACATAGAATCGGTGTTACTGAATCGAGTGTTTTGAGATGATTCATCTTTGGGAAATTGTCTTGGAACCTATTTGAAAGTACTTGAATGTGTGTGTGCTAATTGAATATGTGAGGAACACTTCCTTTTTTTTGGATTGTGCATTTAACCATACATTCAGAGCTGGATTGATATCCCTGGGGAGCAGGCTTCATAACAATTTACTTTTTTGAGACATACTTTTCTGTTAGCTTTTTCAATCTGTTTGTGAATGTGCAGATGTGCGAACAAGCTGCTGAGGCACACAAGTCCAAAGGAGCAATGCAGTCATTAAGGAGAAATAGGACAACTTCTGATCCAAACCAACTGCGGAAATCATCTGTAGATGCTATTTTGGACAGTAATCGTTCCATGTCACTGGCCCAGGTCTATATTCTCTCTCCTCAATATCCTAACTTCGTTCTTTCCTGTTGACCTTTGAAGTTACTATCCTGTATAATAGGATCAACCTTTGTACATACTTCTAGTTTCTGTGACAGTTTAATCAATTTAGCTGAATCTCAAATATTTATTGTATTTCACCGTAATCCATTCTTTCTTCATTGTAGAATACTGAAACACCTTCAAAGATTTTTCTCATCAACTGCTTATGTGCAATACAACAACCATTGTTGGGGCACGAGGTTGCAACTGATTATGTGAAGAAGATTGGTTCGATGATCGAAACTCACTTGCATGCTCTTGTGGAAAAAGAGGTCGATGCAATTTTGAAAAAGTGCGGGTTGTCGAACAAGATGGGTTACTTCCGCAACTCAATGAATGCTGGGCAACCGTTAGCAGAGCTGGAGGAGACTAGTCCAGCTTCTCTTTCCGAAGGTTTGAAGGCATTCTTCGGGCTTATTTTGGGAAGTGATAGCTCCTTACCCGAATTTGAGCAGATGCAAGTACCGAGGCTGAGATCGGAAGCTTGTGTTCAATTGGCGAGAACACTGGCAGAAGCTTATGAGCTAATCTACCAGGCAGTTATAGATCCGAAGAATCAGTACCCTGATCCCAAATCGCTGGTTAGGCATCCTCCAGGCCAGATAAGAACCATATTGGGAATTTAACGACGGCAGAGAGACCTCAATTTTGCTATCAATGGAGTAGCTGTTGGTTCAACGATGAGTAGAATATGGCATATTGCCTTAAGCTTTTTTACTCTCTAACTTCTAAACAGAAAACTGCTGAATAGATTTAAGCTTTTGTCAAGAAGAAAATGAATATTATTGTTTTCCATTTTGTAGAGAGACGAACAGAACTTACTCCCTCTGTCCAGTTTTTCTAGGCTAGTTTGTTGTATTGCTTTGCATTAGTTCAACAAATGGGCTGCAAAAATAGGATGGATGGAGTATTGAGGTCATTGTTGGTTGCTTGTTTATATTCGTAATCATGTAAATCTATCCATTATGAACTTGGGAATGAAGGAAACCAAAAGGCAAAGAAATTCAAGATACAATCTTTGCATGTTGATTTCGATGTAATTATCGAACCAGGGTTTCTAATTAAAGATAAAAATCGATCACATGAAACTAGAAGTCACGAATTCTGATAATGAAGAAAAGCTAACAGCAAAGTTCCTTTTAGAATTTTCACCAATAGCTTTGAATGCTGAACTTGGAATGTTCCCTCTCTTCTCTCCCCTTCAAATTTTCCAGGGGCAGCTGTACCGCAAACCGGCGAGGAAAATGAAGCGACAACAGGCCTATTTTTTTTCCGGCGAGTACAATGAGAAGTAAAGGGAAGTCTGGACTATAATCAGGTCTTCAGGTTGGTGACGACTCCATTCACGGATGTATCTTCGATTAACTTTATTGTGTTTCTGGGCTTAGAAGTGAAAGGGTTCCTCGTATATATATTCTCTCCATAATTCGATCCAATTGGACATCCTCTATGTCTAAGTCAAGTGAGGCTTGAAGAAGAAGTAGAGACTAGAGATGATCAGTGAAAACCGACACATGACTGCGATGATGATGTTGCACAAGAATCTTAGGTGAAGAATGTAGTCCAGTGTGAAGAGTAAGATGGATCCAGTTTGTATGTACTTTCAAGTGCATTTACCCAGAATTTCACAAAGTCTGCAATTTCTGCGCACACGGGTTAGTTCATGGCTGGAGACTGGAGGACATACCCTTAAATCCATGAGCAGAATCAGCATCTGTATTGAGAGAAAAAAGGTAAAAAAGGGAATGGGACAAGAAACACTGATTTAATGTTTTCACCAAAGTTTTGGATGCTTCACCAACTTATCATAGATGTGCAAATTCATACGGATTGTAACAAGAATGCATTCGTCGGATCTTATTCCTACGAAAGCTGAGGAATTCATTGCAATATGACGAAGTATGGATCTGCACCGACGTCTCACTTGACGAAGTATGGATCTGCACCGACGTCTCTGGTTGGTTGAACTAACGGCCATGGCGAAGGAAAAAACCTAAAACCTGCAAAAGAGGGCCTCGGGGTCTCCCGAAGGTAGACACTCCGATGCTTAAGTCAGTAAGAGTAATTGTAATAGGGTATGAATTATGGTGTCTAGAGCGTACCATTAACCGTGAAGGGTTGATCCCTATTTATAGAGTTAGGTTAGGGAACCCTTTCTTGGTAGGAAAGTAAATAAGAACCGACCTAGAAGCTTCTGGAGGCCAGTTGGATCTTTTACCGAACTTGGGCCGGCCTAGTCTCAGGCCGTGCTAATTTGGACTCGTCAAGTGCCCCTTATCAAGCCTATACTTCGAAGTCTGAAGATAGGATAGGCTTGATAATATGAAGTGTAAACTGTTCCCAAGTTCGGGAAGAACTGACTTGAATCGAGAACCTGCAAAATGTTAGCATCCAGGAGAAATCAAAGTAATGAATGCATTAGGACATACCTTGTCAAATGTATGTGTCAAAAAAGGCGATTGATATGTACGCCAATTTGTGAAGAAAGAAGAGTCATTAGTTTGAACTGTCGAGTGAGAAGTTGATATGCGATGATCTTAACATTCTGCCCCAGAGAGATACTAAGGCATATACCTTCTTGCTCGAGAAGGTAATAAAGAAGTGTAATAGAGATTCCCATTACACTGAACACAGTGATGTGTTATCAATAACTTTCAAAGACACAACTGCCAGAACGAAGATTCTGTTTGAAGATTGCAGTTCACGTCATTGACCCAGACGTTAGTCGAGAAGGCCTTGCATGATGAATTATCGAATCATGTGGCCCGTCTGTTGAGAGGATCGAGAAAAAAACGTAGTGGAGATTCCCACTAGTCTCAATGTGTGTGTCACTAGCATCGGCTGAGATATACTTATTGTTGAGATGATGAGTTGACTGTGACATATGCTTTTGAACGAGAGGTAATAAATCCAGACCCTCGAGAGTAACCACAGGATAGTGAATCAAGAAGCATAATGAATGAAGACAGAATACCCAATGTCGAGGACATAAGTCTGAAAGAATAGTCTGGGATTGAGTCAGTACGTCGAGAACTTGCCCCAGAATAACCCGAAGACTCGAGAAGACCAGCTCGAGTTTAGTTGAGCATATAGAGAGTCGAGACAGTTACCATATGAACCCTCGATTGTCGAGGAGGGACAGAAGAAAGTAGAAGACCCCGTAGAAGTTGCTGTGTGATTACGTGAATGCTGGGATAGTGAGATTCGAGAAGATTCTCTCGAGTAGGACTCCACACCAATCCCAAGAATTGCGACTTATCTGACCTTGAAGAAGGTATACAAGCATTTAAGCTAAATAATATCCTCCCAACCGACCCGCTTACCATTTCTCATGTCCCGAGAAATAAAGCATAAAACCCTTAGTCCGGGTTTGAGAAGTATGAACCAGGTTGACGTGTCGAACCCGAGTAGATGCATAATTGCCTGAGATTCGAGCAAGAATCGAGGAGGTTTTACTTATTAGTTGTGAGAAGGGACGATGCCTCAGTCTGAGCATCAAGTGTGGACTGTCGAGAATAATCATAGGAGGAGATCTAATAATCATCGAAAAAACAAAAACACATCCTCCAAACACATCCAAAACACCTTACACACCTTCCAGACACCTTACATACCTTGAACGCTCTCGGTTATAGATAACCCCAGAGCCATTACTCATCTCGGAGCCCCCAAGTCTTGGGGTGGCATTTGGCAGACCGAGACTTTAGATGAGAGTGTAATTCCCGCCGCTCAGTTCGAGGAGGTGCCTAATCAAGAAGCCCTCATACTGGTAGGGTTTAGGCAATAAAATGGCATCTATCAGAAGGAGGTGGATGGTAACCACCTTACAGAAGGAATAGGCCTGTATTAACGAGGCACAAAGTGAATTCGAGAACATCGAGATTAAAGTCATTATCATGCTAATGTATTAGATGATATGATAGATCAATCCAAGAAGCATACTCGAGAACAAATCTAGTTCTCATTGAGGTATAAAACACGTGTTTAGGTTCGAGGGATAGTCCACCCCTTGTTCATGAACATAACAATCTAGGTCTTTCTCAATGCCGGATGTCGAGTACGCGGCTTATGAGGTATTTGTGAAGTGCTTATAATGGCCGGATGTTAAGTACACGGCTCTTTTGCTGGCGATCCTGAAGAGGATACCTTTGTATAGACGATTCTGAACAGAATGCCTTTTTAAGGACGATCCTGAAGAGGATATCCTCGAGGAGGCTGGTTACGAGCTCCTCGAATTTAGACTGTTAGTCGTAACAGTTAAGGGTAGCATGACCTAATGAATGTCCGGACATTGAATACACGGCACTTTTGAGGATGGTCCTGAAGAGGATATCCGCACCAAGAACGGTCCTGAAGAGGATGTCCGTTCAAACGACTATTCATGTTTAACTAGGTGTAACTGCGTATAAAAGATATAGCAGCTCCCATGAGTACTCGAATGGGCTACCACTATGTGCATTAGACTAATAGTTCATATCCCGGGTTTAAAGAATAAATGCCCTAAGGCTAGAACGAACTTGAAGTTGTTGCTGTCCTCGAGGGTCCAGATGCGAGAGTTACGTATCCCTGCTTATTTTGCCCCAGAATTCTTAGGGTATGTTTTCCTGCAACTTAGTCCGAGAAATATATTGCAAGTATAATAATAACATGTTTACAAAAAACAATGAGATCTTTAGCTAATCAGCATATAAAGAGGCGCTCAGACCTTTTTTAATATTCATGTGAGAAATATTATGCTCCTTGATTGAGGATGCATACTCGAAGGGCTCGCTCGAGCGTACCTTTCATCGCATATTGTCGAGGATGTAACATTGTGATGGTGATGCCTCTCGAGCGCAGGCATCATGATAAACCATGATGGTTCTCTGATCCTAACAAAACACCTCGATACAAGCAAGGTTGTTGAAGCCACGGTTTGGTTAACTCACGACAACCATGAAAGAATGTGGCAGAGATCGTGAAACACTTCTCCACTGATTTGTACTTACTACGGACCCCTGAAGAGTCATAGCAATTTGACATGGAACTGGACCATCAGATGTGGAAGTCATTGCGGCTTCAAGATAGCCACCTCAAATTAGTTGCTCGGTAGAGTAGACACAACGATCCGTTGCGACCCCTTCTTCAAGAGAGGAATCCATCCTGTACTATGACCTTTAGAGCATATTACCGACAACTATAAGTACGAGAGGAGTATCTACCCTCTAAAAGAAAATGAACATGACTTGGTTATTGACTTTAAGATTGGTTAGAATATTTACGCGTGGAGAGTAAACAAAGTCATGTATATGTAAAAGATATAACGCATGCTTCATTACTAATGTACCATGAGGCAAGTAATTGGTAAGTAAATCATGCATCTGAGAAAGACTTTTCGTGCAGAAGTTTGCATGCTAAAGTTTGAGGATACTAAAAGGGATCAAGAAACACATGTATCTGATGTGTCATAATAAGACAATTATTCCATGCTCATGAACTATCAGAACATTCATGTTATAATGCAGATGGTCACATATTCAGGCAATAATAGCATAAGTAGATCGTATCACTTATCTGTCGGCCCTCTTCAAGGAGTATCCACAAGTTAGAGCGGCAATACCCATTTTTCGAGAAGCTCCTCATTGTTGTCAACGGAGCTCCTTCTTGAAACGTGCTGTGTATTGATCCTTTATTTGTTTGAGTCTACTGTGGCTTGAATATACCCCTGTATCATAGCGGAACTATCTTCGTTCTCAATTTTTTGCAAGTTCCTTTTCGAGCAGGTCATTGCCCCTTGGAATGGGTTGCTTCGTGGTTCGAGAAGGATGCTCCTCGAACTGTCTAGTTGTAAGACCTGCAAAACCATGTAGTACAACTGCGCCACGCTCGGGCAAATTATTGCAACTGTACACCTTTCATTAGATCCTCGCAAGGGAGGCACTGTGTAATTTATATAAGTCTGGTTAGAAATATGGTATCGTGGCACAAGTAAGTTTATGACTACTTATCTCTTGTCTCTATCCTTGTCATATGGCCGATCTATGTAATCACGACTCTATGTGCCCTCGGTCCCTCGAAAAATAGAGCTATGCTTGCATAGCTGTTCACTTTGGACAAAACGTTAGTTGCTCTAATAACAAGGTGGTTAGACCCTTGGTGAGCGTACAAGAATTGTGCATGGCTTAAAATGAAGTAAGCAAATGTCATGTTTTGATCTAAGAATAGGGCAAGTAGTACCCCAAAATCGGTGAGCAGTGCATGCAATTCAATGTATAATGCTATTGAAATAATTTTCAAGAACCCTCATGTTTGTTGTGATGACAAAGAGGTATTGACTCATACAAGTATGTAAGATAACATAATTAGGTAAGATACGATCGTCATGCCACTATTATGATTCTATAGCGACAATAGGCTCTGGGAGGCATAGTATATATATTTATGTATAATGATGCTTGAGACATAAGTTCGTCACCCTCAAATTGAATAAGTTCGAAGGCAATAATAATGACAAGGAATTATTTATAATAGAAGGCTACGATAACTTATCTGTCATTAAAGCCTCTGCTTCGTGCAATTATGTAAGAATGAGTGTCTCAGCTTGTGCTGCCAGAAACAACCAAGTAGCCTTGTACTGACATCTCGAGGAAGTCGCGCTCCTCGTCAGGGAGATGTGAATTTTGAGATATCAGGTCGCCCCTTGCTGTGAAGTTAGAACTTGTATGAAAGAAAATAAAACCATTAGAGGCAGAGATGATGAATAATAATATCTAAAAGGACTGACTCATAAATTTTGCGTAATTAAAGAGAATTTTGTCCGAGTATTCCCTTTGATGGTCGAGAGATTATACTGCACAATCAAAAGATTTAGCGTCAGAGTATAAATATTAAAATGACAAAGAACCGTTTTACAATTTTTCAGGAAATTTAGAATCCTTGTCGAGTGGCTGCGGCTGCTTGGATTTGTGTCGTAACTGGAGGCTTCATAGCCCCCGCTGGCTGAGTTGCGTCTTGATTTGGTCCGAGGAGGCTGTGAAGTCTCTCGGAAGCCCATTTGAAGGGCGGTAATTTCCTTAGTCAACCATAAACTCAAAAGATTTATCGTAAAAATTCTGAATGATCAATGATGACAAACCTCATGTCAATATGTAAATAAGATCATCGAGTAACCATGATCCATGGCACTGAATCAAATGAATCTACAAGAGGCAATAGAACAGTGAGAACGACACAACTATATACGTGGATATAGTGATTTTAATAGACAGTATATTGTTATATTATCAAATTTATCAGTTTGTCCCAATAATTCGAGCAACTATGTACACTGGGGGAGAGTAGAGTTCGAGGCATGTATATAATAATGCCAATTAATTAGCATTGGATAAACCTATCAGCCGATATATACAAGTATGTAAGGTAATTTTACTCAAGCTGAAGCAAGCATATCAATTGTTTTTGCCGTTGCATGTTGTTGTCTTATATTAAGCTAGCACCACTAGTGCTCTTCAACAAAACGTGGTGACCTACCACAAATTAATATAAAGTTAAGCAATTATTCAGTAGGCGATTTGAAAGCCCAAAAATTGCGAAAACAAACCGAGCATAGATCACAAATTAATATGCATCGTTTTAGACGGTTCGTTAATAAAGTTGAGGTCCTGAGCTAATCATACAAAGCCTCAACCAACTTTGGCACATTAAGTTTCAAGGGCAAAAACCTATGAAGGAATATAAAATAAGCTACGAGAATATTGAAGCCCAAAGTTGCAAGAATTGATTTACGGCACATAACAAATCAAGCATTGATTTGCTTAATAAACTTGAATATGTATAATTCAACAAGTGTAGTTGCTAGCGATACCGCTCGAGGAGTTTTGGTTTTTGAAACTAACCTGACCATCATGAACCTTTCGTAAAGGACCACTTACCACATTGTTGATTAATCAAGTATTAACATATAATATGTACCGCCATTGAAGAAGATTAGAAAGGGACGTTCGGTCCATCATTCCTCTTTGTTCGAGCAAATCATGTTAATTAAATTTCAAGAACGCAATACCATTTGGACTACGTATCAAGTAGATTTGAAGTAATCTCTGTATCAAGTTGCATAACAAGTAATATTAATAAGAACGAAAAACCTGGATCTCATGATTGGGCTAATCATGTAGCAGATTTGAGTGATATCTCGTGAAGGATGTTCCTAGCCTTCCGTCGTCCAGAATACTCGATTCGATCTTTGCCTTCTTCACAAGAAGGTTTGTTGGGGAAAAACCCTAGGCGGGTCCCACTGATACAATCTGGATCCAGGTGCGTCCGAAGTTGTGGCTTGTGTGAACCATGATATTCGTTCACTGTCCTCCAACATCCAGACTCGAAGGAGAAGTATCTCGAGAATGCACCAAAACCACAAAGAATCTCCAATATAATAGATTAGTTACCAAAGCATAAATAATGCACATCATATGCAAAAAGTCAGGTGGATTATTCATTGGTGCTCTACCGCACCGAAACTAAAAACCAAAAACGAATGGTTTAAACTTGATTAAAAAAGAATTTCATAAGCATGTTGTTGATTATGCCAGAATCCATGAAATTTAGGTTCACCAAACCTGGTTGCCTTGGAAGGAGACGTACGATCGTACTCACACCTTCTCACGGAGATTTGTTGTAGTAGAAACCCTAACGGGTCCCACTGAACTTGGGCAAAGCGATTTTGTGACGACATGGTGATTTTGGGAGGAGGTCCTGACTCTGCCTTGACAAGCTGATGGCTTGTTTCTAAGATATTTGCAATACTCAAGATCCGGCGTCCCACGAACCTGGATGGATGCTTTGGCTTGGCAAAGCTTGTACCTATGATCATATTCGTGCCGGGAGCTTGATCACTCATGATCGAATGGAGACGTCCAATGCCGTTCGTCTTCTTGAGGAAATTTGTTTTGAGGAAAACCCTACGGGTCCCACTGGGCGTGTCACTTGACGAAGTATGGATCTGCACCGACGTCTCACTTGACGAAGTATGGATCTGCACCGACGTCTCTGGCTGGTTGAACTAGCGGCCATGGTGAAGGAAAAACCCTAAAACCTGCAAAAGAGGACCTCGGGGTCTCCCGAGGGTAGACACTCCGATACTTAAGTCAGTAAGAGTAGTTGTAATAGGGTATGAATTATGGTGTCTAGAGCGTACCGTTAACCGTGAAGGGTTGATCCCTATTTATAGAGCTAGGTTAGGGAACCCTTTCTTGGTAGGAAAGTAAATAAGAACCGACCTAGAAGCTTCTGGAGGCCAGTTGGACCTTTTACCGAACTTGGGCCGGCCTAGTCTCGGGCCGTGCTAATTTGGACTCGTCACAATATTATTTCAATTGACTTCTACTTTCCATTCAGGTCGAGTGATTATAGTCAATAGAGATGAAGTCCGAGACTTAGATAATCTAACATATTTTAAAGTGCAGTGTAATAGTATATATTCCAATTTTTTTTTTTTTGAACTGTGATAAGCAAAGATAAAACAAACATACATAAATAAATATACACAATTTAAATTTGACGCATTAAGCGTGTGTTATACATAACTTGAAGAATTTTTGTAAAAATTGTCATGGGAAACACTGGTAGTGTATAAAAGTATGTTTTAGGTCATACTCACAAGTTAATTTCGTGGTGATACAAAATTTAGAAGGAAAAAAGACAAGTGAAAAAGAAAAACGGAGTAAAATTTCCTAGTTCTAGGGTTTAAAGAAGGTTTATTGAAAGATTTTAAAAGAAAGGCAATATATTGCTTTATTACCTAAACTACCCCTTGCTAATCAAAACCCCTACGTAGTATATCTTCCTCTCGTCCCCCTCTTTCTGTTTCTTCTTCAATTTCTTCTGTTCTTCCAAAGTTTTCTGGCGATTCCTCCACCAGTTTAACCGGAAGAAATCTCATAAAAATTAGGGGAGTTTCGAAATATATTTTTTCCATTAGCTAAGGAAAGCATGGCGGAGGCAACACCAGCGGCGGAGTCAGCAGCGGTTGAGAATGAGAAAATAACCAAGTTTGTCTCCGATTTATTTGTGTAATCGTTGGTAATTTCCATGAAAATCGAGGCTCATTTTCTGATTTTTCGTTTTGATTGAATTTCTTTGTTCAGAGAAGCTCCGCAGTTGGTTTCGTTATTGAAAGAGATGAAGCAAGGTTTGGATACATTGAGGAACAAGATTGATGCTCTTACTGCAAAGGTGAAAACCCCACCACCCCCTAAAGGAAAAAGATTTGAATAAAATCGATGTAAAGAAGCATGTTAAAATTGGGCCTAGCTATTTAATTTATTTTTGTTTTGCTTTGTTCGAACGTTATTTTTTGGATAAAAATCAAAATTCAGATTGTGTGCTGTTTTTGAAAATGTTACTATCCAGAAGGTTTAAGGGTAGTGGGGTTGATATGTGGAAGTGGGTTATTTCTTATTACTCCCTCTGTCCCAATTTATTTTCCAGTTTTGGATTTTCACTTTTAGTACAATTTGAACTGAAAATGAAAATCCAAACTGGACACTAATTTCGGGACGGAGGGAGTGAATTTTTCAGTCAGAAATAGCTTTTCTGCTGTTAACGATTGTATTCTGCGATACAATTGATAAGGGAAGTGAGGAATTAATAAGGGAAGTGTTACAGTAGGAAGTCTTCAATCAGAAATGCCTTCTCGTTTTCTATTAATTACTATAGCGTTTTGTCCTTCCATGCTTTAAGTTTAATTTGGTTTTGTGTTATAGGTCAAAGCTGATCACTTTCCCACCACAGATGGGATAAGTTATCTGGAAGCAAAACATTTGCTTCTTCTAAATTATTGTCAGTCGCTTGTCTACTATTTGCTCCGGAAGGCTAAGGGTTTATCCATCGATGGTCATCCGGTTGTAAGGAGTCTTGTGGAAATCAGGTTGTTTTTGGAAAAGGTATGGTAGTCTGATTTTTTGTCCATTTTCTTCTTGTTTATGATGGCTACTTGTGGAACCAGTGATTTGAATGTGCAGAATTTGTCAAGTTGAATAATGGTTGTAACTGCTTTTTCTGTATTTTCTGATTTCTTGCAGATCCGCCCCATTGACAAAAAACTCCAATTTCAACTAGAGAAGTATACAGGCATTGCAAGAAATTTTGTGGAGAACGATGGTGTTGACAAGAAGCCGTCTACTGAGAATGACATTGATGAAGTGAAAAATGAGGAGGAGTTATTGAAATACAGGCCAAATGTTGACATGCTTAATCCCAGGACCAATGCCACTCCCGATGTAAGTTGATGATGCCCTAGTGTTAAGGGAAAAAACTTTTTCTGTTAATTACAATAATCTGTGGGGATGTCTCCTTGTGTGGATCTTCAAAGTGACATTATCGGACTATTTCTTAAATGTTTGGGACTGTTAGTTTCCGTTGTTCATAATGCTGTGCAGACTATGAATACACTTTCAGTTTCTTAAGATTGTTTCATATTTTTACAGGAGGGAAATGGTGTCTACAGACCAGTTAAGTTTGCTCCTACTTCAATGGATGAAGACAAAAAATTGTCTCGAGAGGAGAGAAATTCATTGAGGAAAGAGAAACACACACTGAGGGATGCTAGACGGAGTGCTTATGTGCGAGAGTTGGTGAATGAACTTGAAGAAAGACCTGAAGAAGTGAGTGGAATAATGTTGTGTATGGAAATTCTGTTGATGTTAGTTTGCTTCGTGCTGACTTTTACATGTCTGAAAATTGAAGGTTAGGGAACCTTATAGAAATGAAAGTAGAGACGTAGTAAAGTATGTGGAGAGATTTGAACGGCGTGCACAGCAAGAAGAGGAGTTCTTCACACGTGCTCCTCTTACAAAAGCAGAGAGGAAGAAATTGAAAAGCTTGAAGAAACCAGGAAATCCGTAAGTTCAGCCGGAGAAATAATTATACTTTTAAAAGCTGTCTTATACAATCAATTTTCCAAACTGCCCTGATCTGGTTCTATGTTTCTGTTAGGCTATCGGATCTGACTGAGAGCTTCTATGATGAGATTAAGACTCTACCTATAGGGGATAGTCGAGTTCAAGAATCACCAGAAGTTTTCCATGATGTTGGCGGCAGAAAATTCAAGAAACAGAAGGTAATTTAATATCCATAAGAGAGTTCTTTATTATTATCCGTTAGTGTGTGCTCATTCTATGCATCAAGCATCAATGGTCCCTCGTTTAACTATTTGATATGTTATTATCATTCCAAGTTATGGTCTTTACTTGTTTGCTGATACACAGAGGCGGAATTAAATGGCACGTGTAGTTGTCGCAGTAGAGATGCAATTGAATCAAGAGATCGACTACGGGAGGTTCTTTTTGTCACCATTAAGGAAGTGGAGATTTCGCTGTTGATGGTATTTCTAAATGTACAATGTATCTTCTCGTCGTACTTGTCTCTGGGTCTCGGCATCAATTTGCGTCTTTTGTAATTTCTAGTTAGAAGAGTTGTTGGAAATTTAATACGCCTCCAGCCAATTTGGCAAGGATTTTGGTGATCTTTTTGTTGTATTTGCAATGGTGATTTTACTCTTCACCGGCGTTGCCAAATCTGGATATTTATATTGCTGCATGCATCATCATGGTATTTTTGCCATTTTCCATTTCATTACGGTTGGTTTCACCTGATGATGTAGATGAAAAAAATCATACTTACAGGCTCAGAAGAGAGATCCTATTTCGATATCGAACATATAAGTCAATAATCTATATTGCCCTACAAATGTAAAATTCGTGTTGGAGCACCAGGACAAATTTTACAAAAGTGAGATGTTACAAAAGTCACCGCGTATCACTAATGAGCTATTTGATATCAGATTTTTCCTTCAGAGGATTAGCTAAGCTGTACAGAATCAGACCCATCACGAGAATAATGCTGCCCATATGAAAAAGGGGACTCAACTTTACGCCTTCCGAGAGGTATGGTAGAGGAAGGGAGAGAATATAAATAGCAACGGGAACTGCAGAGGAAGAGAACTATGCCAAGTTAAATGATTGAAGTAATGGAGTAGCTATAAGCCTGATTTTTCTCCGCAATCGTGTTATTCTCGCGAAAAATTGAAATTACCTGATGACATCACAGCTAATGAGGAAACTACTGCTGATGAAATCTTTACAAGATTGAGAACTGATATGTTGAAACATATGTTTACGAATATATACAGAATGGGTAGTAATGGGGCTCCTTCACAGCCTGTTGGAGAAAGTAAGTTATCAGATAAGCTACTTCAAAGATTATGTTCAAAATCACCAAAAATTTTCATCACGAGATCTCTCAGTATCAATCACATCACAAATCAAACGTTGGAGCTTCTGATAATCAGATTGCTTCCCGAAGAATAAGTTCACAAGTCATTCAAAACTAGAAAAAGGAAACATTCAACTCTAGACACTAGACATTCACTCAATTAAAAATAATGCCGAAAGTGTGTAATTAACAATAATAAATCACACAATCCGGTTCACATCTGTTTCAGAAAATATTTCATCCAAAGAATCACATAAGAAGCTAAGAAAAGGGGGGGAAAATGCCAAAAGTAGTTAGGTTAAACAGTTGATATCTTTATTCTTCTAAACATGTACATCTAAGACTAAGGCAAGTCAAAAGAACTGAATGCATTGGTGCTCCCATGAGGATTTAACACAATAGTTTAGAATACAAGACCACTAATGACTCTAATGGTTAAGGAAGAACCCAAGTAATTTATACGCATACAAATCAGTGTTTTCCTCAAGAATGAGAAAACACGGAGCAAGTGAACTACAACTAATCTCAAAATCATCAGAGTGTCAAGTTTTATCCAGCAACAATTTGTTATTTTACAGGCCAGACCTGGAACACACCTGTTACATTGGTTCCAGCATTCAGAAAGCAACCAGCACCACTTCTTAAGTATGAAGGGAGCTGTGAGAATGGTATGCCCTTTAAGCTTGACAGAAAAGGAAGAAGGAGAACCACAAAAAAAGCCTGCAAGTCAAAAATTACAAATCAACACATGAAGGATCACTGGCTCATTGTAGTGAAACTCAGACTGACCATATTTGGCACAGGAAAAATACAGGGAAAATGAAAATTGAAGGACAGATCATCATCATTCAGCTTTTGGCACCTTGAAGCAAGGTAATTTCCAAATTCGACGCTGGCTTATGAGACACCTGTACATCTGGGCTACAAATGATGAAATGCCTTCTATCTTCATGTGAACCATTTATTTAGAGAATATCAATTGACCCGACATGTCTGAAATTTTTTAGGAAGTAGAAAAAGCTCATGCTTCCATTGCGACTAAAAAGGAGAGTAACAATTAGGGTAAAGGATAAAAGGTTATGAACTTTGTCTATTGTCACGATAGAGTGCTGAGATGACTTTTATGGACCCAAAATGCCACAACTAAAATAGAACAATATAGGAACTAGACTGCAGATCAGACCGAATGAAAATGTAGCATCTAAACTAGCAAACATTAACCCTTTACACTTGGTGAAAGTTGATAACCGCTGATATAAAACACTAAAATGTATGATGGGCCCATGTGGCCTATAGGCATTGCAGTGAGCAGCATTAAATATTGAAAAAGTAACAACATCTTCATCATGTACATCATGAAATAACCATAGAAACAACAGATCTACCTGGAAACCAGATCCGAAAGAATTGACAACAAAGATGTCAAGAGACCTCTCCTGAATTGAATTTTTTCGGACACCAAATAATCAAAATGTCAGTTACAGCAAAGATAAAATCGGCAACAATGTAAATTAGGTGCAAAAACTCTCATATAAAAGGTCCGTTTATACCTTCAAATAGCCTACAGCATCAAGGAAAACAGATTCCTGTAGACATCCATATTTCAAATCACTATCTCTTATTAAGATGATAAAGAGAGCAAATATCATAATCCTTTACATTACCTTGACGATTGATGCACCAGCTTGGAAAGCGCAAGAAACTACCATCAGTGCCGGCCAAAAAAGCCCAGTTCCAGTCAACATTTGACCATTATCTGATCCACTGTAGTTAAATGGTAGTACAACTTAAGAATACAGAAGGGAAAAAGAAAACAACATGCTTATGGATGTGTGCCGAGTGAAACCGCATCCACAAAACCTGGTTAGACATGGAAACATCTCAGGGCAATAACCTTTTTTAGAATTGCCTTTTTGACATATTTGTGACCGCAACATAAATTTGCTAATGAGAGCCTAAACTGAGAACGGGAAGATTGTTGAACCTCATAACTGCAAAAATGACACCAGCTGCAACAAGTAAGCATCCCACAATTTTATTCAATGAGTAACTTCTTCCGAGGAGAAGAACAGAAAGAGCCAACTGCCACACCAAAAATGTCTGCAATAACAAAAAGTAAACATTATTGATTGTTATGCAACGTCTTTTTCTACAAATTTCACAATTTGACCTAGAACAACCCATTTCTACTTCTTTCTGCAGAGTTTCCAGCCTCTACCGGCTTTGATAAAAAAAGAACCCCTTCTGGTCTCCATCAACCAAAAGGTCCTAGAGGAGTACAAGACAACTATAATACAGCAGTGTATTAAAAAAAAGGACTCAAAAGTGTGACAATAAAATGATATGAATGAAATTCCAAAGAACCTTACAGTTAGGATGGTCACCTTCTTCAGGTTTTTTTTTTTTTTTTTTTTTTTTTCTCTCTAAATCAGAATTTAAAGACAATAATCAGTTCAAATATTTTATGAACACCAAGATTCAAAGAATACCTGATTCAGTACAGGTATAGCTGGCCCAGGAAGCATGGCTGCCAAAAATATCAACCACAAACCTTCAGCATAAAACTTTGAGTACTAACCAATAGAGAAAAACAAAGTTTTCTGTTTACTGATCCACACAGATGCGTTTATAATGATAAGCCCTAAAACCAATTACAAATAAGCTAAGCAAAGTAACCAACCAAATCATGGTAGTATGAAACAGAAAATTTACTACTGCGTTCAAAACTCAAGGTCGACCAAGAATTCTAAAAAATGTTGCAAAAAGCGAGAAATCTGGTCAATTGGAGGTGATGTGACAGTAGGTCCGGCAGTAGTATGGTAGTAGATTTACCAACGGCAATGGCAATGAATGAAAAAGTGTATAGTAGAAAAACAAAAGCAATAGCTGGTAGACACTGTTGCAGGGAAGGGCTGTTGGAACAGAAGGTATGTCTGAAAAAAAAAAAAAATTCTGAGGGAATCACATCAAAGAAACAGCAGAGCATCTGTAGGTTAGCACAGAAGTGATGCATGCTGGCAGCAACACTAACAAACCAGAGCTTCAGGGAAGCATTAGAAAACAAGGACAACATTATCAGATCCAGTGATAATAGAAGTAACTGGTAGCACCGTAACAAGCATTAGCATTAGCAGTGGCGACACGTAAGAATTGATTTGTTAAAAGATGATTACTACCATGCTAGAACAATACTTTCAAAAGTATGGCGAATAACTGGTACATTTCTTACTCAGTATAATCTGCCGCAGTTCGACTGATTATGTGATTTCAATAAAATTTTTTTTTTAAAAAAAGCTACAAAATGGTTTCCAGAACCTATCAAACACTTCCTAGCAAAACTCTCCAACTCAGATGTCATACCTCCAGAAGACATTCCGGCAACAACTCCAAGGGCTTCAAGAAATCCAATAATCATGAAACGAGTCTTTGGAAAGGTCAGCATCTCATTAGTTACAATTCCAACTTTGAATCTTGTATACAGAATGAAGAAATATATTGCGACATATCTGGAAAAAACCAGTAAATCGCAATTCTATCAACTGAAAACCAACTTGTAACTTAATTATTAACTAAGGGAAGGAAGCGATGACCATGAAATACAAGCACTATGGAGATATGAAGCAATACACAAGAATTATGAGAATATGAATCATTGCCGAAAATGTAAATTTCAATTTGACATAGAATTTCCGCACTTCTTACTCTATTGAAGTCCACTATCGGTTTAATTCTTTGTTGTATCTAGCATTATTCAATGTCAAAGCACACCCAAGTGATTCTCAGCAAGGAAGGACCCAAGCTTATTTGAAAAAAGAAAAAGTAGCACTTTTGAATTTCTCTTCATTTAAATGAGCCAAAAGTTTAGGCTTCCCAATCGAAATGATGGTTAACTGCAGACCCTGCCTCAACATTCCACTCCATTACTACGTCCATTAGCTTGCCTTCTCGTCCTAAAGAGCGATTCCGAAAAATGTACACTCAATGATAAGATAACAAAAAGGACGCCATCATATTTCAACATCACATGAAGCCTTAATAATTAGTAATATCAGATGAAAATTCTACGATTCTAATCAACCCGCAAAAAAAAAAAAAAATGATTCAATGTAACTTGTGTAGTATAAAATATGAGTAAACTGAAAAAAGAAAGAAACAAGGAATTTACAGGAAAATATGATTTTCCCAGAATGGCACACTTGTTCCATCATCCTGCTGATTTTAATCAGACGTGATATATATCTGATGATGTCCAACGGAGAAAAAAAAAAACCTTACCCAAAAGTTGTGAGTTGAGCGAGAAAGAATGGGTACTCTTTCATGGGAACAAGGGCAAGCTTGTAAAGAACCCGATTCGCAACCGCGAGTACCAGCGTAACCAGTGAACTAAAGATCACTACTTTAGCATTATTATTATCCCCAGTGGAAGAAGAAGAAGAAGGCCCTTGAGAATTTTCACCAATAGCTCGAACCCGGAACTTGGAATTCAGCCTTAACGATTCCAGAACGAAAGAATTCGTCTTCTTCCTAAGACGATGATGATGATTCATTTTGCAATGTGGAGAAACCAGAGCTCGTGGGATATAATTCGATTTGGAAGTGAGGAAAACAGGAAAAGATACAGCCGGGCCATTCACAGAAAATGAGTTGAAGGTCGGAAAATGGCGGATTGATAATGGAAATTTGGAGGGAACTGTTGGGGAGATTTTTGGGGAAGTTCTGCAGAGATGTTCCATTGGAGGAGAAAGGGCGGGTTCTCAATTTTGCCTATTATCATCAGCAACTAACTTTTATCAATTGAAGTATGTTATAAACCACGCCTTCAGTAGTAGGATCCAGAGAGGCGCGACGATAAGGAGGAACAAAAAAGGCGTGATTAATTCAACTTCCTTTGTTGGGTGCGCTTTCCAAACTCTTGGGGGAAGTAATACCCTCTCAATTTGGTTGTAATACTTTACTTTTATTGAACAAAATCAGTACAAGTAAAATTATTAAAATGAGGACCGAGAAATAGTCCCGAGAATATTTTGATTTTGTCTTATATTTCACCTAATACGTATTTTTAATTGATGAAAAAACTTAAAAATATATTTTTTTCGTATTGGTTGTAATCTCTTGATTGTTGTAAAATACTACTTTTAAAGTTTTTTTGTCAATTAAAAATTTATACATTAAACTTAGGACAAATCAAAATACTTTATATTAAGGGGACTTGAGAGAGCATTTTCTAAGCATGATATGATTCCCAACCATTTAACTACTTTTTTAATATTTAAAACCACCCTAACCGTTTATCTATTTGCTTCTCCCAAGATTTGAATTCTTGATCTAGATCAGAAATTCCGCCCTTACCATCCCATCTAAAAAATTAGCAGCTTCCTCTTTGCGGGCAGAAATACTTACGGTAATTACTTCATTCTTACTTAAATGTGTGCATGATTCAGACATTTAGATTTTAAACTTCACATTTCGACTTCTTCACAAAAAAACCTAGCCGATACGAAGCACACCAAGATACATGGACACTGGTACTACATAACTTGCATACCCTAAACTAACATGCAAGATGAGCTCATCATCTTCATCCTGAATCTCTACTTTTCAGAATTTTCTAATTCCCTGTTGGAATTGCTCCCCGGACAGCCAAACTACCAATATGTTAGAATTGATTCCAAAAGGTGGTGGGATTCTTACTTTAAGGGGTTAAATCTTCAAACAACCCATCCAAGGAACCTTCCCCGATATCCTCAACGCACGAAACCAAACGGTTACCACCATAATTGGCAGGCTCTGGATGAAAATCTCCCCTGCATATCTGGGTTGAAGCATCGTTGTTATTACAAGGGTAACTTCCAAGGGAACCATGACTATAAGGATTGATATTGGGATAGGTATCCGCACTCCAATTCCATTAGGGGATTGAATCAGCTCCCACATCAGGGAAACATCCATCACTTGCGTCACATTTGGAATTTTCCACTCCAACTGGTAAAGCTTCAAAATCAGTTGATTTGAGGACACCATTGTTGATATCTCCAGGTCTAGCATTATCAGCCTCAATATATTTAGAATGCGTCATTTTAGCTGGTAAAACTTCGAAATCGGTTGCTTTCACGTGCCTACCACAATTGATATCACCAGGTTCAACATTATCCTCCACATGGCATTTAGGATCTATGTCTTCAGCTGATAAAACTACAAAATCGGTTGCTTTAAAGACACTACCATTGTTGATATTACCAGATCCAACATTATCCTCCACAGGACATATAGAATCCAACACTTCAGCTGAAAAACTTTATAATTGGCTGGTTGGACGACACTACCACCGTTGATATCACCAGGTCCAACATTATCATCCACAGGGAGGCTCTCGTCCCTTTGTTTTGACCATGATTACCTTTCGCACGTTTTTTCTTCTTGAATTTCTTGTTTGGATGCTTTTTATTTCTTTTGACTGTAGTAGTATTTTCTTCGGGTTCTTTCTTCTTAAAATGGAACTACAGTAAGCACCAACTCATCATCCCCCGAATCATCATCGGAAGACTCAGCTGAAGAATAATTAGCCTGGATAGCTAACAAAGCAGTACGGGCAGCTTTAATCTCAGCATCCTTTTTGGTTTTTGCCGCTCCTCCAATATATTTCATTCCGCCAGTCTCAACAGTACAAGAATACGATGATCCCCTACCCGGAGTCTCAACCTTTTGACAATGATAAACTGGTAATGCATAGTTCGTTTTCTGAGCAAATTCCTGCAGCAAGTTTTTTGCAAAAACCTGTCTCGTGCTGAAATAAACACGATGTTAGTGAAAATCCAAGGATGTACGAAGTAATCGGAAGCTGAGAATGTCTCCGAAAATGATAACAGAATTCAGCTAGCCACTGTGAGTTCTATAAACAAATGTCCACATTTTAATTCATATTAATACTTCCAACTTTAAGACTGCCACATAACAAATTGAACCACGTCTCTCATTCTCCTATAAAACAACCATAAACGGTGAGAAACCTGCCTAGCCATTCAATCTAATTGAGAATCAATGTACACAATCCAATTATAATTAAAAGTGAAGTTTTCGCGAATGAGGAGTTGGTTCAGTGGTAAAACCACCCTTCCTCCAAGAGGAGGTCATGAGTTCAATCCCCCACTCCAACAAAAAGTGAAGGATTGGCTCTCACCTTGCCTATTGGCACCACTAGAGGCTTGTTATGGCTAACCCATGAATGAACCCCCGATTTCGCACCCGAGCTTGTCACCTCGGGCTTGCCTAGGGTGGTTTACCTCCCACTGTGGTTTGCAGGCTATTGCAGTGGGCGTCGGTTTAACCATCTCTGGTGGGGTTCCCGGCGTTACCAAAAAAAAAAAAAAAGAGTGAAGTTTTCTTACTGCCATATGATAAAATGAACCATATCTCTCATTCTCCTATAAAACAAACATAAATGATGAGAAAACTTGCACATGTATTTAATCTAAGTGAAAACCAATGTACATAATCAAGTTATATTTACATGTGAATTTTCTTCACCTGGTTCCTCTACAATCACTAATAACCTACACACAACATCAGTAATACCAAACAATAAATTTAACTTTCATAGTCAAGTATAGAGTCTGGTAGACTCAAAATGAACAATTTAATCATCTTGAAACAGTTACCCGTGGGGAGATCGTCTCCTCCTTAACAAAAAAGCACAAGACAAGACCATGAAAAATAGTTCCTAATTGAAAAATAAGAATCTTACCACCGGCTGTGAAATGCTTTCTACCATGGTTCTTGACTTAGAGAGTTCCAAAAGGGCGACTTCTGCAGCTATTGCTCAGCACCTTTTCTATTATGAAACCCAAGAAGAGAATCGTATCTAACATTATTCACAATCACTGTTAAGCTAAATGTGGGTTCATGGGGAGGCCCTCCCTTCACAGTTTCATAAACAGGCCTGGGCAATCCAAGTTTCTGAGCAAACTCTTGCAAGCGGCTTTTGAAAAGATAACAGTTTGATGCCCCCGCAATGAATCCACAAGTCAGGGCATTTATATTAATTCTATTTCTCAATAAAGAAATCTAAACACTAAAGGCTTAAGTCCAACTTATATTTCCGAATGAATGCAAACTATTGAACTTTCAAAAAAGCTGAGTACAAAAACAGATACAACAAAAGAAATGCCAAGCATTTCTTAACCTTAAGTACAGACAGAACTCTATTAACTTTCATGTTTTCAGTTCCATAGAGAGAGTAGTATGGATCGAGAAGAGCCCAAAAGTTCAGATGCATAACAAACCAAACTTCCTTTCAATTATTAGTTTTTTTTTATCACAAGGAAATTAACCGGAAAAATCTCAGCAGATACTTAAACCATAAAAGACCCCAAATCCCACATCAGTGTGGACCTACAAATTGAAAAGGAATTAAGTAATCATCACACAAAAAGATGACTGTCGATAACTATACATTATTTACCCCCAATCAAGAAAGACGAAAACCACAAAACAGATAATCAACAAATGATTAGTAGATTTTTTTTTTTCCAACAAAAAAAATAATAAATGATTAGTAGATTGTAAAGATGCTATTACCTTGCGAAGCATCATTGGTCAGCATTTCACCGGAAGAAGGAAAAAAAAAAGAGACCAAGGAATAAGAGGAGAAGAACAGAGATGAGGAAGAAGAAGAAAGCTATGGATTCCTAGGGGGATTTGGGTTTGGGTTTATTATTTTAATGTTTATGTTTTTATTATTAGGGGCGAATTACATTTACCCCCCTAACTGTTTGGGCATATAACTAATACCCTCTTTGACAGACTAGTCAAATAACAAATAACCCCCTTGGTAGTGGGAAGATGATGTCATGGAATTACATCAGCAAAATGTTAGCATACTGCGACGAGAATGCCCTTATGTTTAAAAAATCTGTGTTTACTTTATGTTTGGAAGGTTTTTTTAGTGTACTTGTTTGTTTTGGGAATGTAAAAAGGTGTATTAGAAATATAAAAAGTTGCATTGGAAATGTAAAAAGGTATGTTGGGATGGGATAGATATTAATAAAAAAAATTCTGAAAAAATTGTCCAAAAAAAGGAACCAATAAAGTGATAAACAAAAACCCATCATGATAGCAATCTCGTAGATGAAGAAATTTCGTTAATGCAACCATCAAACAAGAAAGTACGAAGATAATTTATCTATCCCGTGAAACTCAAAAGAGTGCGGAAAATTCACAGTAAGACGATCGTTTATCTAAGTGATTCTATCCCTTAACTCAAACCAAGCAAAGAACACATTATCCATGAAAGATTCGAATTAAACAACAACCCACGCTAAGAATAGCAAGGACACCATTAATATACTCGATTAGTCATCATTCAAGAAACTCAAGAAAGGTAGGAGCAAACAGTGTTCAACTATGAATGAATACTATTGATTAGTAATCTCCATGACCAACAAAGATATGCAACACATACACTATCTCAAAATGCTTATGCCAAACACAACTCATCCAACAAAAAGTAGGACAAACCCCACAATGGAACTCATGAACACACACATCATGAATTCGAACACCAAGCCAAAAGAAAGGCTCATCAATTGAACTACTAGAAGTAGTATGAAAATAAGAAGTTTTGTTTTAAAACAATTATATCAAGAAGCATACTTGAAAAAAAACGGTTTCTGCAAGATCAAAAGATCCAAGACAAGATGAAAATCCTCTTGGTTAAATCATACTTGACACGGAAAATGGACACTCCATTTAATAAAAATTCCTCACAGGAAAAACTCTCAAAAGAGACAACAAAAATGACCACTCAAGGGTGCTTTTGATTTTCGGCCATGCACCCTATTGATAGGCTTAGGAAATTCAGCCAGCACCAAAAAAGAAGATCAATTAGGACTCTCTAATCTTATCTCACAAGGAGTAGAAGTAGAAGAGCATTTGATCTCTTTGACTCTATCTAAAATGTAGGAAACCTTATCTAAATGACTTATTCTCAATTAGGATAATATCTAGAATGAATCTAAGACTCCTAATCAAAACACTCTAGCTTTATTCAGTCCACATGGCTTATCTAACTAGATAAAACTCGAAAATTGACTCCTAGACTTAGACTAACTCTAATCTCGAAATTCAGCTCCCAAATTATTGAAGTAAAATGTCTTGAACGCCCTTCCAAAAGTAGAATATTGGTCTTGCGCCCCTCAAGTTGTAGAAAACTCCAATTTACTCCAAAACTTGTAGAATTCTCTTTATTGACTCCAAAAGATTGGAAAAACACTTGAAACAATTAAGATAGTTTGCAACCTATCCAATTGTGTAGCAATGGACTCAATCTTGAACACTTTGATCAAATAGGCCGTCCATTCAAGAACCTAAACGATTCTTCTCTCTAGCTTGATCAATGATCTTCATGGAGCACCTTGAGTCAAACTTTCTTGATACTCTTGAGCACTTATTTCCATGAGGTCATCATCTCCTTTGGTTTGAACCCCAAAGTTAATGACATTCTCATCGTCTTGATCATAGCTCTCTTGAACCAACTTCCTATCACATAGATAGTCAAGATCCATCCTTTCTTCCTTGATTGGCCTGCAAAGTAAACTTGGCATTCCAAAACTGGAATGAAGGACTAGCTCATTCTGCTCACTAGGAGAATCTCTATGGAAGGCTACATGATTCTCATCATCATCTCCTTCATCTCATCACCACCGCGTGAACACACAAGATTCCTTCTCGACATCCTGTCTCCTCCCTCAAAGCCATTAGCCATGGCCAATGTGGACTATCAATATCCATTCATTTAATCTGCTTATCATCATCAATCACCCATATCAATAAGCAAAACAACCCCAATCATCATCATTGTCCCAAGCATCAAAAATCAATTCCATTCATTATCATCAACATCAATTAGCACCACCAAAAAAAAAAACCTAATCATCATCATGATCAGATCAAACAAGCTCCTAATTCCATTTGATGCTTAAAAAGGTTTAGTCCTTCACCGCTAACTTCTAAAACGGGTGCTTCGGATTTGGCAAATCCGAGAGCCTAATCAAAAGGGCTTTTGGATTTTCCAAATTCGAAATAATTAAATATAATAAAAAATTATATATTTTCTTTATTTTGGAAAATATGAAAAATAGGGTCAAAAGGTGAACAATGCACTCGGATTAGCAAAATCCAAAAGCATTTAAATCTAATATTCATGAAATGAAACAAAAAATGGCGAGCAAATTCAAATTTTTGAAATAGTGACAAATCCGAGTTCTTGGATTTAGGGATTAGGGTTTAGGGTTATGTTTCGGATTTGCCAAATCCGAGGGCTTCCTTTCAATTTAGGGGTAATCCGTCTTTGTGGATTAGGTTGTTGGATGTATTAAATTGTATCGGATAAGGTGACGAACATTTGGATTTGCCAAATCCGAAGCATACGTGATATAAAAAGAAAAAACTTGCAGCTTCCCTTCATATCGGGTTTTCCAACTTGTGAGGGTTATTAAAGGTTGTGGCCGGAGTTCTTCAGGCTTTTGGACACACATTACTGCTAAATGCAACAAGAATCGTTATTCTAACGAGGTTAGTCATTAAAATAATATTTTTTAGTTGTTTTGTTGTGTATTTATATTGTTTGAAGATGGAAGATTGGTAGGACTTAGGATTGAGGATTATGAATGTAATATGGTGATGTAGATGTTGTTGTTGAGTTTATAGGTTAGGATTGTTGTTATTTTAAGAATTGATTGAGGTTAATTTAACGAATTTGGATGAATTTTTTTCGTTTGAAAATTTGATAGGGTTTAGGGATTATGATTTGATTATGTTGAATTATGATTAACATGCCAATAACGATTAAAATGTCCCCGCACGGGCCATACATACTTAATTTGTTTCATAGAAACAAGTATGTGATAGAAAATGGTGTAGTGAACATATTTGAGAACAAACCGGACGACACTCTTGTTATTGATAGTAGGTTGTCATATGATGAGTTGCTTGGTATAATTTGTGTGACGTTCGGTTGGGATCTTGAAATAGTTAGGAAACTCCACATTTCATTAATCTTTGTGATTCACGGTGTAAGGTGCGCCATGAAGATAAAGAATGATTCACATGTTGGGATCATCTACCACCTCGAGCCAATGACAAGTGTGGATTTGTACATAGACACGGAGGATATCACTAACCAAGAAGATGAGAACAATCATTATTGTGGATCTTTCTCTACACAAGATGATCACATGGATGAGGTTGAACAAGATGGTCCATGGCAAGAACAAGCAAGTAGTACACGGGTTCATGAAAAAGATGGTGGAAGTTTATTTGCACAAGAGGATCACATGGATGAGGATGATTCTAACTACATAGCTCCAAGCAAAAGCTCAAAAGCACGCGATCCCTCTTCGAGTAGTGATGATGAGGAAAGTG